ATCATCCCCGCTGCCGCTCTCCAGCTGCGGGAACGGGTCCCTGCGGACAGCAGGGTGCAGTGGGCACCATGGACAGGTTTTTGTCATGTTTGCAGTGGGTATAGAATGGAAAACACCTGCTTGTTCCTCCACCCCAAATATCTCTGGTGTCCCCGATCTCCAGCTCCCTGGATGGGGGAGGCAGAGGAAAGTGCTCACCCTCATGGGTGCTGCATGAATGGGTACCCTCAAACCTCACTGGGGCTTGGCACACCAGCATGGAGCTAAATGGTGTCACCAGCACCTGTCACTACCCCAGTGACAATCCCACAGGTATTTTTTAGGTGCCTCCATTCAGCTGTCGCACCTGACCCAGCCAGGGACTGTCACTGCCGGCCCCTGCAGTCACCAAGGGGCTGGGGTCTGGCTGTGCACCCTGTGCTCATCCTGCCCCGGACTGGGAGAGGGCTGGGAGCTCCTCTGGCTGCCCAGAATAAGGACAAGCAGATGCCTGTGCTGTGATACTCCACCTTCCCAAGGGCTCCCTGTCACAGACCCACTGCAGCACACAGCAGCACCCTCACCCTTGTTTTAAGAGGAAGAACACTCAGCTTGAGCACATTGTGTGACACATTCCCACCTTTCCTGTGGGCTGGGAAGGTGCAGCAGGTGGCAGTGACTTGCACAGCCTGGGGCAGGGTTTGTGTGCCTGTTCATCAGCCTTGCACAGCTACACCATAAAACCCTCTTGGATCGGGGCTGTGCAGCTGTGTGTGTGAGAGTGGAGCACTTTGCCAAAACTAAATTCAGCTCCCCAAATCAATAGGAGCTTTCCAAAATTTTGGATGCTCAATCAGGAGCTGCTCTGGATGAGGCTCAAGCCCCTGTCAAGGCTGGATGCTGGCTCAGCTCTGCGCTGGGAGCTGGCCAGGGCTGACACACTCAGCCAGCCAACCATGCTGCCAGGCAGGGAGCAGGGACATCGAGTCACAAACCATGCGTGTAGTGGGGACATCAGGCCCCAAACTCTGCCTGTAGCCTGCAAAAATCCTTTGAGAGTTCCTGGGGGGAGTTGGCATTCCTCCTCTGGCTTCAAGAGAGCGGGCAGGGCAGTGCTGCTTGTTGCAGGCAGATAAAGAAAGAACGTGTTCTCCATCCCTTTGAATTTCCCATTTCTCCCTCAGCCTTTGTCTGCACACAGAGCTTTTGAGCCATGGCAGAAAATTTCCAAGAGAAATATGGTTAAAGAGGGGCCTTGGCAGGAAAAGGCTGATGTCGCTTGAGAAATGTGTGCAGATTACACCAAGCTGTTATTAAAAATAAGTGCTGTGCTGCTTCCAGCCTTTGCTTTCTGTGATTTTTCTGGTAGCAATTGCACTTCTCCAGTAAAGGGTTCACGTGTCCGGGGCATGGAATTTGTTTCCTTCTCATCTGCAAGGGAGAGCCTGGTGCCAAACCAGTATCCCAATGCCTGGAGATACTGTGATGGGGTGTGGGTGCCTGGGCAAGTTCAGACTGCTCATCCATCTGAAATTCCAAAGGATTTTCAGAGAAGCCTTGTGCCTGGGGAGGTGGTGTGGTCCCCACAAACTGCTCCATGCTCCAGCCATCCTTGGTTTTACAGCATCCAGCATCACTCTTGGGCTCACTCAGTCCCTCCCACCCTGGAGCATCTTTTAAACAGCCCCAGCAACTCTGCCTTGGGTTTAGGTCTGACTTTGAATCTTTTAATGCCTGGTTAAGGACTTTCCACAGCTAAACAGGAGTCAAAAAGCAGGAGTTAAACAGTTTTTTAGGGAAAGCCCTAAACCAAGACACAGCTTGGGACACTCACAGCGTGAACCAGGGCTCCTTTTCCCAAGGCAGTGATGGTGTGGGAAGGGGACAGGTTGGGGACAGTGGCTGCAGTGATCCCTGGACCAACAGGCTTCCCCTGCACATGGATTTGGGTATGGAGAGCACCAGTGTTCCCGTGGGTGCCACCCCTCCCCAGCCCCCGGCTCTGCAGAGGGGGTGAGGCTGGGATGATTCAGCACGTTCGTTTTTCAGAGAATAAAGGAAGTAATTAAACATCAGCTTTCCTCCCGCCGCGCCCCGCGAGGATGAGAGGGAGGAGATGAAAAGCCTTCAGACGGAAGTTATTTGTCCAAGGAGAAAAGTGGCTAATTTCTCTGGTGCTTTGCTTGTCTGCTCGTTAATGAAAACCGCTCATCAGCAGGAAAAGGGAGCACCCAGCGAGGGGGGAGGAACCAGAATCACACATCCATCAGTGTGGATGTCTTGGTGGCCTTGGGACATGCTGCTCTGTTGTCACCTCCACAAAGCCCCCCATGGCACCCAACCACAGGCCTGGGGGCTGTGAATGCAGCTGGGTATTGGGGACCCCTCCTCACTGCAGCCCCATGGGTTGGGAACAGACACTCCCAAGCTAAACACCATGGATTGGTTTTCCTAAATCCCAACACCCCTCCTCTATCTGCCCCCCCTTCAATTTTTTTTGTGCAAAGACTTCAAAATGGATTTGTTGAGGCACTTGCAGGGAGATAGAATCGAAAACAGCTTCGTGCTGAAGCCTCCTGCCTGGTGCGGGCTGATGGATGGTGCTTATCTCAACCAGGCATGGAAATGTTTAGTGTTATGAAAATCTCTCCCTGAAAAGAATTTATTTTCATGCTGATAATAGAAGAACCAAAGCTCAGCGTTGGAGGGTGGGGATGCTGCAGGTTCACATCAGGCTCTGGCTTACACAGACCAGGAGGAACCTGTGCTGTCCTTTGGCCCCTGGCTGGGCAGGTGACCCTCTTGTCACTCACAGTGTGACATCTGCACCTTCACAAAGTTCATGATTTACTGGCAGAGGGCATCCAAGGCATTGCTCCCTCTTTGATGCTCTCTGCCACGCAGAGAGGGGTTGAAACCACAAAAACTCTCCCGTTTGAAGGTTTATATAGATATATTTCTAATTGGATTTTGGCATGTCACGGTTATTTTCAAGGCACTCTGTAATTATTTGAGAGCCTGATCACCTCCTTTCCCTCAGAACAGAGGACTGGCTTTTTTCTTTTTAATATTGTTTCCCCAAGTGAAATTGTGAATTTGCAACTTAATCCAATCAGAAGACACACATGATGTAACTCTGCAAGGACACGGCAGGACAGCAGGATCCACCTCTGCCAGGTTCCTAATCGATTCCCAGCAAGGGCAAAACACGTAAGAATAATATTTTAGGGTTTTTTTTGTATTAAAAAAAAAGAAAAGAAAGTGTTTTAAGAAGATCATGGGTACTTGATGGAGTGGGGAGGTTTTGCTGGTTCTGCAGTAGCTCAGCCCACCCTGTGCTGAGACTGACTCGTGTCCAGCTGCAACCCTGCAGCAGCTGAATGCTACTTTCTGGCTTTTTCTGTCCCAACTGAAACCTGATGAAATTCCCACTAATTACAGGCTTTTATTTTTACATGCGTTGTAATTTTTTGAGGCCAAAATAATTTCATCCAACTCCATCTGCTCTCCATTAGGGAACTGAAGCTCGGGCAGGACAGATCCTCCCATCCTCACCAGGGCTCTCTCCAGGTTGGGCTCTGCCACCATCCCAGTGCTGCACTTGTTATTCCAGTGCCCAGAATGAGCACAAATGAAAACCATTATCCAAGCAGAGTTTTCCAGCATCTCACAGCTAATGACCATACACCACCCTGCTGCATCTTAACAGCCTCAAGTTCTTATTTTCGCCAAGCCCGATTTCAGGGCTCTGGGCTGCATTCAATTGCTGCTGAATCCGATTTATTATTTACATTGCAAGGTACAGCCTGGCATGAATTGATTTGCCGTGCTCTGATTGCCACTGCACGCTGCTCTGGGATCTGGGAGCTGGCTGCTCACACAGCCAGGCTGCAAAATCAGAAATTAGGGAATGCCAGAGTTCAAACTGCCCAGTGCTCTGTGTTCTGCTCTCATCTTTCTCATCTCTCTCGGGATGCAGGGAGTGCTGGTCTCAGTGGGGGTGGTGGGATCGATTAACTGGTGTTCCCCAAGGGTTGTCACCCCAGTGCTGCAGAGATCAGATGTTTTTAATGGCACCCCTTACTGAAGAAGAGAGGTTTGGGAAATTGAAGAGGGCAAGTGGCACTGGTTTTTAGGAAGGAGCCATGGATGGGAGTGCAGGACAGATGGAGAGAGCAGAAAGGATAGGGAACAAGAGAATTGGGAAGCAAATGGGAGACTTGGTGTTTTGGGGGATTTAGCAGTTGGGGGATTCATCACCACTTCACCTTTACTTTCATCATCACCTTCACCATCATCATTACCTTCACCTTCATTTTTGCCTTCACCTTCACTCCTTACCCTGCTTGCTTGGAGCTGCATTACCTTGGGTGACAGGAAGCAGCGAAAATCCCCCAGACCCAAGGCTGTTACTCTGGG